ATCTGACATTAGTTTTAGATAAAAATAATTTTCGAAGCACTTTTCTTACAAAAACTACTAAAGATGGGAATTTTTGTATCGGAGCCATGCCTATATGATATCGTAATCATGTGAAAATTTGCAGAGGTTATTTTTTTCACAAAAAGTTAACATTCTGAAAGTTTGAAGAAATTTCAATGCATATTAAGGGTACTTCCCATATCCAAATTTCGTTTTAGAGCGAAAAATCCAAAATTTTGTTCGGGAGGTACCCCTAATATTCGTTGAAATGTCTTCAAACTTTTGGAATGACATTTTTGTGTGATAAAAATAACCTGTACAAAGTTTCAGCTTATTACGATATCATACAGGCATGGCTTCCATACATAATTTTCTATGAAAAGTGTGTCGAAAGTTATTTGTATCGTAAAATTAACGTCATATTCGGTTTTCTCGTACCCAAAAACCCCCCAATACACATTTTTGAGTGTTTAAGAATACATTAAATATCACTTTTGGAAGAAAAATTGAATTTTTCCCATGGATGGACATGGGCATCACACCAGACATGACACTTTACCCTGTCAACCAAAGTCGCTCAAAATCTAATGGTTTCTATTCCTCGGCACCCCCAATCATCCTGTGAAGTCAGATTTTGAATTACTTTTCTTGTTTGAAAGTTATCGTGTTAACAAATTTTTGCGTACAGGGTACAGCGTACAGGGTACAGGGTACAGGGTACAGGGTACAGGGTACAGGGTACAGGGTACAGGGTACGCACATACATTCGGACATCGAAAAAACGCTAGATTCGTGTTCCCTGGCCCCAAAAACACCCAGAAAACACATTTTTTATGGGTGTTAATTTTTCGACCGATTCCAATACTTTACCTTACACACTAGGTGTGTGCGGAAAAGTAATAGGGGTCGTATCGGTGAACCAGACATTACTAAAGTTCTACATTGCGGTTCGGGGAATTTTGATCAGCGTGAGTATTTTAATTTATTCAAATTTCAGAATACGGAACATAAATTGTATTCCCTCTACATTTTTAGGTTCCAAAAGATGAAGATATTGTTGGAACCATAGACCTTTTGTACAAGCTGTACAAAATCTTCAACATTGAGCCTGCTGGACTTACCAAAGCGTTCATTGACTTTTTAGATTACTTCATTTACGACAATGAAGATATTTCTAGTGCAAAAATTACCAAAGAGATGCATGATTTGGGAGATAAATTGAAAAGTTTATCAGTTTAATATTTTTTTCATGCGTTGATTTACCATTTCATAAGCAAAATCCAGCGTTTTTTTATTCTATTCAAGATCTCTAAGAAGTTCAAGAGAAAAAAATAATAATTTTTCAACATATTTTTCGTTAATATTTATTTATTTAATTAAAAATGTTATATTTTATGAATTCAAAATCCATGTGATAAAATAAAGTTTTCAAATCAAATTTGCGACTACCAACTTATCTGCAATTACAAAATATTCGCCACGAGAATAGATTTTATCAAACACTAATTTGTTTTCAAGCTGATTAAAATCGAAAACAATGGCAGAATCATGTATTTTTTCAATAACAATACTATTTGAAAATTTATCTTTGCGACAAATTTTATTCAAATGACACAACAAATACACATTTGACTCTATGGATAAAATGTGATTGATTTCATAGATTCGACCATTTTCTATGATTAGCCCACTTTGGCGATATTCTATGCTATCATACGCGGCAAAGTGGTGAACTTTCGATTCTAAATATTTGGGACCAATATCTCTTTTGAGAATCGACTCATATCGCTGAAATTGCATGGTTTTACTAGACTGACCGAATGATTTTGATGGTTTTATTTCGGTTCGAAACGATGGCTTCTTACACATTCGATCTTGATGTTCCGTGGCCAATGTTTTAGGCAAATTTCCAAAATTCATTTTTCTTCTGGAGATTTCAGTTAATACACGATGTTTTGATTCAAGGCGCATTGTCCAATGATGAATAGGTGGCCCCATTTTTCGAATGTATTCGGGATAATGTACGAGAAAATGATGTTTTGGTGTTAGAGTTCGATTGAATACATCCTGCACTGATTTCAAGTGCTGTTGAATGAATTTTTCTAGCGATTTAACGTCATTTTCAGATATTTCCGGTGAATATAAAATCTGCATACACTTCAACAATGTCTGTACAGGTTGCCAATACTTTTCAAATTGATTCTTGAAATCAACAAATATAAATGGTAAATTTACGATCATACAATATAGTTGTGAAGCGTTTTGGTTCAAATTATGCTTTTCCAAATTGGTTAGTGATGGCCTGTTATATTTACTTGTAGGCCCATAGTTGAAGTCACGTATTCGCTGTTGAGCTTCTGCTTCTGAAATAATTTTGTTCTTTTTAACAATTAAATCGAAAAAGTCATGAAGACAATATGGGATCGCACCCTCGTTTACATCGTGCATTAGATCTAGAGACATGTTGTCCAATATGTGAAAGTATGTCAAATCATTTAATTTGCATTTTCTTTTAACACCCATTGTAGCAATGAAGTCTTGTTTCACGTTCTTTTTTTCGGCTATTTTAACATGATGCTCATATTTTTCAATTTTTCGACGTTTTCGTTTAGCTTCTTTTGTCATGGTTTGACATTCAGTTTTCGTACATTCACAGTGACGACAATAGTAAGTCGCAGAAAAACTTTCAACGAAACCCATCACTCCACTTGCACCAAGATTATCAACAGCGACGTTAGTTAATGTGCCTTTCAAACGTTCTATCCCAATATTTATATTGGATTCTTTCAGTACTTTTGTTTCAATCGCAATTCCGTCACATTCTAATGTACAAATCTCGTTTGATATTAACTCAGCAATGTGATTGTAATCATATTCATCTGTCTTAAAATTCACTGTGCTACATAAAGCCACCAAATAAATGTTATTCAATTTAGATCTAAATTCTGCAGGCATGTTTATTATTTGAAAATATGTGGCATTTACTTTGTGTTTTGTAGCTTTGCTTTTGACTGCACAACACACTTCAAAATCATCAGATCCAATCTGAATTTGCAGGGTACATGGATCTTTGAAAATTTCAATTGATCGGTGAATTGAGCCGCAACAAAAGCCTGCATAATTTCCAGGAACACATTTATGTTTTTGATGTAAATTGTACTTCACATATGCTTCATAAAAATCTTTATTTGCCAATACCGATCTTAGCGTTTCCAAAATAGGAACATATTGAAATGTGGACTGTATTAGTCCATGGTCTGGAATTTCTGTTTCCGGGTCTATTTTGGCATTTTTCCATTTCAATCCAATTGATTTTTCAACAGGTTCGACGAATAATGGATTTTTTCTGATGTTTTTCTTAAGTCTTTTCATATTTTTAATTTCATTTAATTTATCAAGCACATGTCCAGTTCCTTTTTTGATGTTTTCAAAAATATCATTATTTCCATTACAATTATTTTGCACTAGTTTTATGGACAATTGTTTCGTGTGTTCCACAATATTTATAATCATTTCCATTGTTTTTTCATAGCTTTGTCTGGTTAAATTAAGTTCACATAGTTCACAAGCAAGATTTGAAAAGAATTCGTCGCAGTTTTTGTATACAGCAGCTGTATCTGTTGTCACTTTGGCACTATCTCCATCAAAAACAACTTCAGCCAATTTTTCATTGGACTTTTCACATAATTCGTCACAATGTTCTCTAATTTCGATTAATTTCTTTGCTTTGAAACAATATTTATAAGTTTTTTCCATTTTGATTGAATGAATTTTGTTTGGAGCGTTCATCAAAATACGTTAAAACATTTATTAATGCACAAATGTCATTCAATGTTGTACATACAAATCTGTCATAATGTATACTCAAGCAATGGATGTAAGTATTTTACGCTTGCGTGCGTTCTCCACTCTCGCACGAGTAGAGTACGCACGAGCTTCGTTGAGTATTTTTTTAAAAGAACATCAACAATAAATATTTTTCATTTCATTCAATAAATTGGAGTTTAATGGAAAATAATTATTATATCTCAATATAAAAATATAAAATTAAAATCCTTTTGGATTTTTTTTAATCCATTCGGATTTTTGATATGAAAAAATCCGAAAAATGTACATTTTAATCCCATCGGGCCCACTGTGTAACAGCACTTCTATGTGCATCATTCTTACGCAGATGATTAGTAACTTAGCTGTG